AAAAAAAAACCCGAGCCACCTGTTCATCTTGCTCAAGCTTAGACACTTCGCCCTGGAAGGACTCCCTCGAGGAGGGGTGGGCTGGGAGCAGACGTGAAGGACGGAAACCAGTCTGTGCATCGCCTGGGAAGGTCAGGACACAGTAGGTGCTCAGCGGTGTTTGAATAAATCATGTTCTGCAAATGAATGAATAGGAGTGTGATTTCAAAATGGTATGGTAAAAAAGAAACTTCAGCTTTAATTTTTATCTATATTAAACCTTCTGTTGTTACATTTTTGTTCCTTCAAAATTCATATTCTAATGTTTATCTTTCTACATTCCCTGGTTGTTGGCTCTGACCTCCTCTCAGTTACCTATGGACAGTAGTTCCTCTCTAGCAAATGTGAGTTTTTCTTCTGACTTAGAATAAACCTTACAAGGGGTAAAGTCCTTGCCCTCTCTTACGGCCTCTTCTGTCTTAGGTACTCTGTTTATAGGTTGGCTTGAATTTTGATGAAGTATCTGTAATCTTTGGCTGTAATTTTTTTCTTTTGCGATTTGTACTTTTATATCATATATAAGAAAACATTGCCTAATCTAAATTCATGAAAATTTACTTCTATGTTTTTTTCTGAGTTTCAGAATTCTAGCTCTCCCATTTATGTCGTGATCCATTTCATCAGTTTTTGTATGTAATGTGAGTCAGAGGTTCAACTTCATTCTTTTGGATATTGACATCCAATTGCCCCAACACCATTTGTTGAAAAGACTATTTTTCTTTATTAAATTGTCTTGCTAATCTTGTTGACTATGCCATATTTTACATGCATCTACTTTTTTAGCATCAATTATTTTATACACTGGCAGCTATGAATGATCTTTTTTTAAGTAAAGAACAGTAAGATTCTCCCTCCTTGAGAATCCACATAACTTTCAGTGTGAGAAAGTTGGCCTATAAACCCTCAAGTGTCAAACACTTTTTAAACTAACTTAATGTCAAAATTTTTCTTACTGTGAATTGAAAGCATATTCATTTTTGACTCTGTTGGACATTTAAGGAGGTAATGCTGTACATTCAGTAATGATCTAATGTTCAAGAACA